TGCGTAAATAGCAGAAAATCATTTATAAAAGTCTCTCGTGAACTCAAATGAAACAATAGTGACTGTGAAAATTTTCCATAAAGCGAAAATTTCCCTCTTGCCTCTTCCGCTCCCAATTAACCATCTGCGAGTTGGTAAGGCTATCACCATTCCATGCCCTTTGAGATTGTATGGCTCGAAGTGGCCTTTCCATCTCAACTGGAAAGGCCACTTCGAGCAAGGTTCCTTCCTGAGACAGACAAGGTCAATTACTGGAGCTCGGTACAAATAACTGATTCAACTGGCTTAGCGGCTGGAAGGCGAGGCTCTGGACGCTCGCGCCCGCGGCGCAGTCTGTGTCTCTTTAGCGCGCGCTCTCTCTGATCATTATCTAGCCTTAACTAGGTCACGAAGCCCCGCCTTCCAGCTGTCAAGCCAGTTGAATCAAAGTGTAACTTACATTGCCCTATGTTTTCAAGGGATGCCAATCGGTCGAGAGCACCTCTCTATAGCAGCTAAGAGGGGTTGGAAGCAGAAGAATTGCTCTATCAGCCAATTTTCAGCCAATTTTCTTCAATAATTGTATACTTCAGATTTTCACACAGACAATCAAAAGGTCAGTTTCCTTGTGTCGAATGTGGAAACTCTTAACATGAATTTTGCAACACAAGACCAAAAGAAACTGTTGACAAGCTGTGCGCGACTTTTGTTGTTTTCATGGTCGCCGGGTTCGGCGCGATCGTTGGTTTGTTGTTTACATCTGCAGCGCCGATCAATCCCACTGCAGACTGCCATTGCTGCTTGCTATACTCTTTTTGCAGTTCAGGCCAAAAACCATTCTTATATCGGCCCGTATATGGGAAAATTCACCTGCGTTTATCTATGTTCCAGTTTTTTTATAAGTGTGAGCATGCTATTAACAGCAAGTTCCCAAAGATGGATGTATACGTTATAAAATTAGATCTCCTTTGTACTCCTTTTTTGGCAGTCAATTGCTTATTATTTTTCCTCTGTTTCAGCACCAAATGTAAGAATTCAAATTTCCTTACCGTTTGATTCAATAGTTCTTTTGAGAATAATAGCGTACACTTGGTGTTAGAGCAAATTATTGCTCGATTGCGGTCAGCGACTCAAGGTGAAAAAAAAAAGAATCATCTGGATTTAGTGAAATGTGTTTCAAAAATTGCTATAAGTCCAATGAAACTCGATTTCAGTCATGATACATATTCAAAGGGTGCGGGAAGTTTCTCACCCGAGCCATATTCTCGCACCTAAGTGATGTGCCTGCGAGGCACATCCGAAATCGCTACAGTTACGAGCTTCTCAGGAGACCAAAACATCGCAAGCCCCGCCCCCTCCTTTAGTGTTCGCTCCAGATGATGAAATCGGGATTTCAAAGAAATAAAATCGAAGTTCAGTAGTGAATTTGCTCCAATCAAGACCAAATTTCGGATTTAGGGGTTTTCGAGGTTGCCCTTTTCAATAGTGTAATTTGTTTGTCGCAAAGTCGAGGACTCGTAAATCTGAATTTTGGACTTGTTTCAAAACAGGAGACCGCGGAAACACCTAAGTCGAATTTAAATTGTATTCAGGACTGAATTTTATAATATTTAAACTTATGACTAAATATTTTCTCAATAGTCCACTCATGAAATAGTTTTGCGTCGGAAGCTGTTATGAAAGCAGTAATTTTTTAAAGAATTTTGATTCTAATTTTAAAAAATGAATAAATAAACAAAAAAATACTCAATTTTTGCAATAAACCATTTTTCGGTAATGTTTTCTTCTTTCAGTCGCTTTGAGCGTTACATTTTTCGTGGCTTTTCCATGTAATTTACTGGGTCTTAAAATACTGAAAATTTCCAAAAAACCAGAATAAATTTCAATTTGAATGTTTCCAAAAGAACAAAGATGTTTTTCTCTATTGTTTGACACTACTCCGAACTTTCTTCGCCTACTATGAAGCTTTCTGGCATTAAGCCAGCCTCGATAACCTCAGTGACCTGTGCTACATCAGGGTTCAAGAAATTCTTGTCTGGCTCATAACAAGCGCTGTACTTTGACACATTCTTGAGATTGAAGTCAGGAGAAGAAAACAATTACGGACACACATACGTGTTCCTGCATCTGGCACAATTCTATGAAAGTAATCCGGTTTTTGTGAAAAAATCATTTTTTCTCCAAAAAAATGTCCAAAAAACAAATCTTGGTTAAGCATTATCAGTACTGAACGTCGACTTTGCAACAAACAAATTGCACTATGGAAAAGGGCAACCTCGGAAACCCCTAAATCTGAAATTTGGTCTTGATTGGAGCAAATTTACTTCTGAACTTCGATTTTGAAAGTTTTTTTGAAATCCCGGTTTTATCATCTGGAGCGAACACTAAATGAGGGGGCGGGGCTTGCGATGTCTTGGTCTCCTGAGGAGCTCGTAACTGTAGCGAGCTTGGATGTGCCTGGCAGGCACATCACTTAGGTGCGAGAATATGGCTCGGGTGAGAAACTTCCGCCCCCCATATTCAAAGCAATAATTTTGAATTTGTTTTGAGTTTGTCGATCATGACGTAAGGCGGCTATAGTGACCTGTAACAAAATTTTAGCATCTATTAAATTCTATTAGGATGTCCCATAATTTTTTTTGCCGTCTTTACCCTAAACAATCATTTCTCGAGAACTATACCCACCTTCAAAGTTTACAAATACATTGTACTTCTGCATATATGAGCTATATGATCACTGCGTGGGAGGAGCTTAGGATGTTTAGGGGTGGAGTTTGCCTCACCGCCATTTTTCCTTCATTTCTAGACATGGAAGAAAAGGATATAGTACAACTGAATGTGTGATATGTCAAGCATACGCTAGGATAAATGGGGAATTTCTGAGACATTTTGTAGTGAAAACGGTAAAAATTATGGGACCCTAATAGAAAAAAACTGTTTATATCAAATCGATGCAAAACAACAACATATCTCGTGTAGCTTGATTTCGAAAGCGGATTTTTTTAACGGTGGACTTTTTAGTTTAACATCTTGATGTGGATATTTATAGGTCATTCTAGTTACTTACTTACTTATTGTTAGTTACTTAGTTGGCCCGTCCTCACGTGTCGTGGGCCGCAGCACAGCTTCCATCCGTTCCTATCCCTCGCAAGCGTCAACCACGATGTTCGTATCGGTCGTTGGTGGCGAAGATCACGAGATCTAGGTGTAAAATTCGCTTCCAGCTAGTTGATGATCATGAAAATTTTCAATCGTAGATTCAGAACCCCTGCATCACTGATCTTGGCAAAAAATCTTTTTTTCGTCACTTACATTTTTAAATCGCATTTCGACTCATGCAGATAACTTACTTCGCTCTTGGTCGACCCTGGTAATTCCTGTCTCAAAGGCAGCATCCAGGCAAAATTCATGTTTCTCCGATGAGTAACTAATGCAAAAGCAGGTCTTAAAAATGGCGTTTGCGTTGCTACAGTCTTCTAGCATGACTTCTAAAAGGAGGAAATGGACCTGGAACCTGAAAAAATATTAAGCCACGCCACCCCTATCAAGCTCCCCCGCCGGTTACTAAAAGACAGATTTTTTCAGGGGTTTTGGACATTTCGCGTCACATCTGGGATCACGTCCATGGAAAGTCCCCAAAATGACAAATCGAAGCAGAATATTTAGGTGGACACTGCCTATGGTGTCGGGTACGCAATGTGCAATCGTGCAACAGGTCACCTCCACCTCCCTGCCCCTCCCCCTCTCTCCCCCGGTGATGACCCTCAATTGACCTTTGCCTTCTTTAATGTGCGTCCTTGCATCAACTTCGAGGTCCATTCCAATCTTTGTCTAAGTCAAATCTTTCTTAGCACTATGTGTGTCTCCTATGATTAATCTATGTGGGTCCTGCTGCAAACCTGTGTATTAGGTTGTCCCAAAAGTAAACTCCTTTTTTGAATAATTCGAAATTTTGTTTTTTCAATAGTTTGGGGTATTATCCCATAGATCAGATCAAGCTCTGCAAATTGACTACCAAAGATCCGTCTAAATCGCACTCCATGTAAAGTTTTGAAGCAAAATCGTAAAAAAATTTTGTCATCTGAAAATTGGATTTTCGTTCGAGAAAAAAATCCGCAAACCTCCATCTTGGTCATTATACAGTCGCACTTAGTAGTACCTAGATATGCTTTTACTAGATTTCCGCGCACAAAAAATCGAGAAAAGAAAGATAATCCAAAAATGGCAAACTCCGCCCCCACTTCCGCATATACCATTGTATACTACAAGCCTTACTAAGTACAATCTTGGAACTTCAACCTCTGTATGTGCTTTCATAATCGATTAATACCAAGTTTTACATTAAAAAAACCCTAAAAAAGTGGTATTTTGGCACTTTCGGGCCATCTTTGTTTCTCATTTTTTAGCCCACGGAAAAATCCAACAAATATATTTTTTGTACACTACTATGTGTCTACTAATAAAGACCAAGCTAGAAGTCCGTAGAAACTTTTTGCAATGAGATCCGATTTTTAGAGTTGGAAATTTTCCGAAAATTGGTTCCAATTTTACCTGAATTACGAGTCAAGTGGATCCTTGGTGGTCTTTTTGTAGAGCTTGCTCCTCTTTTCACGAAAACAACAGCTCAATTTATTTTGAGATGGACTTTAGTTTTGGGACAAACTAATAACTGTAAAGTGAAACACTTCGTGTAGGCGCTGTGTAGCCGGAAAATTTTGGGAAAACAATAGCTATGTTATATAAGATTTTCGTTATGCCGAAACCAGGTTGATTGGTGGAACTTTATTGACTCAACGTTTCGAACAACTCGTCTTCGTCGGGAGTCTGAGGGTTGTTGTTGTTGTTGAAAAGTTGTTGTTGTTGTTGTTGAAAAAAAAACGAGTTGTTCGAAACGTTGAGTCAATAAAGTTCCACCAATCAACCTGGTTTCGGCATAACGAAAATCTTATATAACGATTGAAAAGAACATGCCCAGGTTCAAAGAAGAGAACACGTGGAAAAGACAATAGCTATGTTTTCAGAAATAAAATGATGTCTATGGCGGTTCGAGGTCTTAGCCGAGCTACACTACCAACCAAGTAAGTTGCGTTTCGCTCTAAATTACAATCTAGAGATAATTCATTTCATTACAGTATGGGCCTAAGGGCAAAACACTCGCTTCCCGATCTTCCATATGACTACAATGCACTTGAGCCTGTTATTTCTGCTGAAATCATGCAGCTCCATCATTCAAAACATCACGCAACTTATGTGAACGGATTGAACACTGCTGAAGAAAAACTTCACGAAGCTCTTGCAAAAGGTGCGCAAACTGTTTCTTACCGAGGGTTCATACATTTTACCATTTTGCTAAATGTTAGTCTGAATTTCAGGCAATGTCAAAGAAGTGATATCGCTGCAACCTGCGCTAAAATTCAACGGTGGTGGACATATTAACCATTCGATATTCTGGACCAATTTGTCCAAAGATGGAGGTGAACCAAGCTCAGAATTGATGTCTGCCATTAAGGTAACGTTTTTGTCAGTTTTCATAAAATTTCCTTACCATTCCGGCAATCTAAACTTTTTTTTGGAGAGAAAGGGGGCGTGACAAATTCTAGGGAGCTAAGCTACTAGTTTCCACACCTATTTTGAATTTTCCAATATCATATACCCTTTGATTTAACCGGCTTGGCGACTGCAAGGCGGGGCTTCGTGATCTAACTAACTGACTGAGACCAAAGAGAGCACGCGCGCGACAGAGATGCAGACTGCGTCGCGGACGCGAGCGGCTTTAATTAGGCCACAAGGCCCTGCCTTCCAGCCACCAAGCCAGTTAAATTAAAGGTTACTCAGGTTTACAAGGAGAGAATGGCAGGAAACAATTTTTTTGAACGGGGCGTGGCTTGTCATGCCCTGCAAAAGTGTTTGAGACGCCTGCGATTTTTTCACAACTTGATAACCAGAAAAAAAGCTTTTTTTGCAAAATTTGTTCCATTTCTATGTAACCTCGAGTCATTTGTAACTTAATATGTGATATTGCACACTAAGCCCTATCAGCGACGGCACCCATACTGATAACTTCCCAGTAAAACATTTCCTAGCCTAACAAAATGTAGAAATGTGTTTTACTGATTAACATATAATCAACTAAAACAAAAAAAAGGAAACCAACAGAAATCACTGGAAATGAGCAGGTTCTAGTTTCGCAGTTCGTCAGTCAGCATGTATAGTGTGCACTACGCATATTGAGTTACTGATTCGACGATATATAAGTTTATTCCGACTAAATATGGAACAAATTATCTTTTTACGGGTTTTTTATAAATACGGTGGATCATTTTTACAGATTTTGTCACCCATTCAAGGAGGAGGGCCTTTTTGAGCCCATCTCTTTATTTCTGTTTCTCATTCCATTAGATTTCACAGGCTTGTAATTTTTAATAGTAAACTGTTGATTTTCAGAGAGATTTCGGATCTTTGGAGAAAATGCAAGAATCGATGTCGTCATCCACAGTAGCCGTGCAAGGTTCCGGTTGGGGTTGGCTAGGATATTGCCCAAAAAGGAAAATACTCAAGGTTTGCTTTCACACTAACTTTACAGTGGCTACTTTATTCCATCAAAAAATTCCTTTAGATAACAACGTGTCTAAATCAAGATCCTCTTGAAGCCACTACGGGATTGATTCCATTGTTTGGTATTGATGTCTGGGAACATGCTTATTATCTCCAGTACAAAAATGTCCGACCCGATTATGTAAAAGCTATTTGGAAAATTGCCAACTGGAAGAATGTTAGCGAGAGATTCGCTCAGGCACAACAGCATTGAACAGCGATATGTGATATAAGTGTAATTTTAAAACTCGATGTAGGTGTTGTGTATAAAGAGGTTTTTGAGATTTGAATTTGGAAAACGACAATGCAGAGAAGAAAACGCTACGAACAAAAGCTCAAGTTCCCTAAGGTTTGTATACCTTGAAATGAGGCCAGCATTGATTGAACTGACTTGGCGGCTGGAAGGCGGAGTTTCGTGACCTAATTAAAGTCGCTCGCGCCCGCTACGCAGTCTGCGTCTCTGTCGCGCGCGTGCTCTCTTTAGTCTCAGTTAGACCACGAAGCCCCGCCTTCCAGCCGCCAAGCCAGTTGAATCAAAGGGTATATGATATTGGGGGATTTAGAATATACTTTACGAACACTAACAGCCCCCTAGGAACTCGTCACGCCCCCTCTCTCTCCCTAAAAATATACTTGGATGACCAGAATGGTAAAGGTTTTAGGACTTTAAGGTATAACTTTATATACACTGGTAGAAGCGCGCTCTCTGATCATTCCGTAGCCTTAACTAGGTCACGAAGCCCCGCCTTCCAGCGTGAAGCCAATTGAATTTAAGGTTAGCATTTTCAGTACTCCGCATTATCATAGGAAAGCATATTTCTAATTCTGCTTCTCTAGCAAGTCGGCCAGAAATACCTCTTCACAAGTAAAACTGCCAAGTTAAAACAGACACCTTTCGCTATATTTTTCGCGAAAAATGCCAATATATAAGCCTATCCAGCGTTATTTTTTGATATTTTTTCCCTCATAAACTGTCCTGTATCATTCTCAGGTGTAGACAAAATCGTACAATAGCTTTGTCAAACGCTTGCAAAGCCAGAAATTGATCAGCTGTGTTTGTACTGCCGGAACGGCAGCATCATCGTGACAATAACAACAAACAGAGTTATGAAAACAAGGAAACTCGTCCTCGTTATTCTTCCACAAACAAGATAAGGTAACAGCGGTACGAATATATTTTTGGCTGACAGAAAAGAATGAACACTGCAAATCAGCGACGTTATGGTAAAATTTATTATTTCAACTCTAAATCTAAATCACCAGGTTGGCTAATCAATAATTTCGGTCGCTTTTGCGGTTCCCATAAATGCAGACAAATTATTGCCTAGTGTTTGGTATTTCTGGAAAGAACACTTCAATAAGAAATGCAATGTAAATACTGTTTGAAAAGAATCTATGCTCTTATGAATGAAAAGGGGCGTAGAAATGAGAAACCCCAATTTCCTCATAGTGCGTTAATGTGGGATAATTTCGGTTTATCTATCAAAGAATTTCAAAGTGGCAGATCTCAAATTCAATTGTTATTCTAGATAGAGAAAACTTTGCTGCATCCATATACCAATGCCCTCCTCTTTACATCAATTGCAGCATGAAACGAAGCTTGAAGCAAGATTCTTGGAACTGAGCTTTTGGAAATTTTGGCAATATTAGGATACATCCTTTATAATGGTAGCTTCTGATTAGTTGATATATGATAGAAGAATCTTTGTACTACTTACCCTCAAAGAATCATAGATAAAAAACAACAAGAAAAATATTTATGGAGATTTGTATAAAGAACGATTTTGTAGGCAACCTAGTATTATATTTTTATCATGACATGAAATTCGAGGTAACCGATGGTTTAAGCTCGCTATCTGCTCTTCTTCCCTGTCAGGATACCTCCATACTCTCCCCTAACAGTAAAATTTGAGATTCTTCCATTTCTCGGTGTGAGCAGCGTTTCTTGCTGCCCTTGGAATGGCTATCATTGTTGTCGTTTAAAACAAGAGTCTTTTTACAAAATTAATCTTAAGAATATTGTAAGAGTCGTTAGTAATGTAGTATTCTGCTTCTAAATCCGGAAACTCATTAAAGCTCACGAGCTACCTGTAACTTTCGATTCAACTGGATTGGCGCTCAGAAGGCGGGGCTTTGTGACCTAACTAAGGCCGCTTGCGCCCGCGACGCAGTCGGCGTCTCTCGCGCGCTCGTGCTCTCTGATCGTTCTCTAGCCTCAGCTAGGTCACGAAGACACGCCTTCCAGCCGCCATCCAGGAATTAAATAGTAAGACTCGCGCGCGGTTGCGCTGCGGTTCGTATGCTGTTCCGGCGCGATACGGGAACGAAAAAATGTGAGAAAAAAACTTGTATGTACACGCGTTCATCTGCCCTTTAGGAAACGCGGCAAGTAAAAGCTGGTATATGTCAATATGGTCTACAGCAGCTACTATTAGAGAAAGAAAAATTATTTCGTAAAGTCGAGGGAGGGGGGGGGAGATGGGTTTGGAATGAAGACACAGATTTTTTTCCTGAATGAGGGAACATGGCATCAACCAGCACCTTCGAAATATTTAGCGTACCAAATTCTAAACTGAAGTTGTGAAGAAAGGGGCATGGCTTTGGGCTAAAATAAATTTTCACAAAACATGGATAAAAACTAGCAAGAATTATTTGCACAGTATAACTTATATAAGTCACTCGAATTTCATAACCCATTCTTCGATGCAAAGGGTGGGGAGAACCCACTTACCCTTTGATTCAACTGGGTTAGCGGCTGGAGGGCGGGAATAATTATCAGAGAGCACGCGCGCAAGAGAGACGCAGACTGCGTCGAGGGCGCGAGCGCCTAAGGTCACAAAGCTCCGCCTTCCAGCCGCCAAGCCAGTTGAATCAAAGATTATAGTCATTTTGTGTACGACACCAAATTGGTTCATTCTCGTTGATCACCTTTTGAGTTTTCAATATTTATCTCTCGATATATTACTCATAATATAAATCGCACATTATGAAGGCCAATATTTAGTCATGATTTGCAAGTAATATAGCTAATTATGGGAATATAAAGTATTAGTTTCCTAAACTGCATAGTGCAGTTTTGTACCAATAATAAGTTGAGCAACAATGCCTGAACAATATAATAATCACAACAATAGAAGGCTAAGCCACAATGGAGACAATGCGTACCCAGAAGACACAGGAACAAGGCAAAATATGCATTAAGGACCTTGGTTGAATCACATATTATGCAGTGAAGTTGGCGATTACAGGCACTACCAATAAGTCAAGTGATCTGGCACTGAGGTACTTAGACGCTTTAAAAACACACACACTGGTCGAAATTGAGGGGTGTAGACCGTTTCGCACGACCGTACTAGGGAATTTCCATTCAGGACCATATTCGCGCGCTACAAATTGCGGCGAAATCTGCCGCGTGCGCGACGTGTTGAAACAAGTCACGCAGCGTGGCTGCTGGATACTGTCGTGCAAAACGGCCGTCCCTCCGATTTTTGGATATACGTCTATTCTATATATTTCTCATCATATACTCTGAGACAAGAGATGATATATAGATGTAATGAGATCAGGAATTTGTGAATTGATGTCTGTGCAAACTAGACGATCGTTTGGTCAGGCAGAGCACTACCTTAGCTCCTTCGCCGGGCAAACTTTGACGGGTGGCATTTCTTCAAGAATCTGCAAAATTTTCAAATTAAGGAAAAATTGATGAACTCAAAAGAATTGCTTGTGAATTAGTGACCTTGACAAGACTGTCGATGCCAGTAAGATAGCCATCCTCGGAATTTCCTGGAACCCAAGTGGAACGGTGATCCAAAGTTTTCGGTGGTTGCACCGCTGACGATTTGGCGAAATCAATCATCCAGCATCCGACTTTTTCATTATCGTGCACGATCAGAAGTGAACTGCCCACAACCTAAATCGATGCATATCAATTTACATGATTACTGAATCAAAGACTTTTTCTTTATTCACTATCACAGCATTTTGCAATCTTTCTTGACGGCTTTCCTATTTCCTTCACCTTTTCACCAGTCTCACTACTTCTCCTTTACAAAAAGCCCTTAATTCTTGAACAGAATGATTTACTTTTACTTTTAGTCAAATCTGCTAACAATAAATACTTCTGAGGCAGCTTCAGAATAAATGGAAAGATTTCTGACGGAATTTTGAATGAATTTTCTATTTAAATGTCTAAAAATTTCTTAAGATGCACCGTGAATCTGAGAACCTGAACCAAGCATTTTCTTTCATGGCAGCAATTTTCGAGAAAAAATTGCTCAAAATATGGAAAGACCATTGAGAATAGATGGGAAAAAAACGGATTTTTTAAATTTTCTGAGATGCAATAGACACTGAGCACATACGCGATTTTTATTCGGGATAACAAAATTCTAAAAAAGGCAAAAGTAAAAAAAAAACGATTCGTGACGCAGGACAGTGTTCTAAATGCACTTCAACAAAATCTACAGTAATTCTCAGTTATCTTGGCTTATATATCAAACCGCACTACTCTCAACCACTATTTTTGTAATACTTAAAAAGATGCAAGTCCTTACCTCATGAGTCGCAAAAAAGCGACTTTTCTCGATGGCTTTTCGCATAGCTTTGAGTCGTGCTAGCAATTTGCTTCGAATTCTTTCTCGATCAGTCCCAAAGAAGTCGATTAATGTGACTGTCACATCCTCGTAGGTGCGAACTTTTTTGAAGTTCTTTTGAAGGGTACCGCCAGGCATCTGCAAAAATTATGTTGAATAGGAAGCTCTAAAAATAGTTTCATCCAGCTTCTCACCTTGGCGGCTTCAATTCGAAAACCGAGTTCGGCCGAGCTGCTCTCTCGTTCTCGAAACTGCATATATCGCAATTTTGTGATTTCGCCACATGCTCGCTCCTCCGGTGTCGGCTCATCGGGATCTATGGCTGTCATTTTTTCGTATAGATCTTTCCTTCGTTTTGTATTCGACACTTCGGATTCGAGGAACGTTCTAGAAATATTGGAATATTTTATGCATGTAATCCTACTCAAATGCACCATAAAAAAGTACATTGTACACGAAGAAAATTGGTGTCTTGTCGAAAAAAAAAAGAAAAACAAAGCAACGGAAAAACAATTGGGAGTAAAAAAGGCAAATAGTAAACAAATGGCTATCAGACAAATATCTTGGAATAAAAAAGGTAAAAAGTAGAGCAAAACATGAAATTCATTATGAGATTTTCAAATGAGAATAGTACCAGCATTCCAACAATTACAAGCCGAAAAACTACAATATGTGAAAATCCGTACACAAAACAAAAATTCAAAGAAAATCAAAAGTAAAAAATATACCTTGTGCCAATTTTGATATCCATTATACTTGTCTTAGTCGGGTCTGCGAATTGTTGTAACAAATCTTCGATCTCGATAAAACCTAGAAAAATTATTTTAGGAAAATTAAAAGTCCGATAAAAAACGATGAAGAAGAAACAAAAACAATACGATAACTTACAAAAAAAACAAAAGTTGAATTACGAATAGAAATTGAAAAATATAACTAGAAAAAAAGCTTAGAAAAAACACACATTCATCGTTCTTTTGAAGTTGCTTGAAGTAGCGTGGAGTGAAACCGGTAAGACATGGATCTTTCGATATGGCTTCATATGCTCTTGCTTCACTACAGTTATTTGCTTGTTTCTTATAGAGTGTGCATGTTGATGCAGGTACAATACTTCCTGAAATTATAGAAATATATTTAATCAAGCAACACAAAATCCTAAAGTGAAATATTTCAAAAATTTTCAAAAACTAAACATAAATTACGATATAAGTTCGACAAGTTAAAGTAAGTGCACAAGTTGAAACATGAATGTATACTTGAGTCAGAGACGCAGACAATGCACATGCCGCGTCCAGTGTAACGGTGCGGTTTTGACTACGTTCAATGAAAATGAACACTTCTGATTTGCTAGTGGGTTCGAACAATTTTTTTTTCATGTAATGGCAGCGTCCAGATTAGGTAACTAGAAACGTAAAAGTCGTACATCTCACTTTGACCATTTTTAAAGTTCCAGCACCAAATTTCAGTGACTCTTTCAAAATAATGGACTCCACCTCCTATCTGTTATAGAAAAAGCGAAGGTTAGGCATGAAATTACTACCGGGATATAGATAGAAATTATAATATAAAAACGCAAAATGCTTAAGATATAATTCAGTAGACTGAAAGTGTTCAATTTTCCATAAATAGATGGGCAAAAGAATGGAAAAATCGAGAAAACTTTAAATTAATAATAAAGTAAGGAGAAAAATTTACCTTCATGTCCAGACAACTGAACCCATTTTTTCAATCGCTCTTTCAACCAAATATCCATCGGCAACGCCGTAATGGCCATTGTTTCAACGGAAACCTAGAAAAACAAGATTGATCGAAGCTCCACAACGACTGATTGTTTTCAGCTCTACTCCAAAGGGAAAAAGAAAGAGAATTACGCTGCGCTAGTGAGAAACGGATACCATGCGATGTTTGTTGTAGGAGCCTTGGCACACAGAGACCGAATGCGATCGATAAATTTCGGCAATTGAGAAAGCCACAAAAGAATGGAATTCATTATCGCAAGCTTGTGGTTATGCTTGAAAAGAGGCGGGTGTTTGTCGACGGCAAATTGGCTGTTGCATTGGATTTTTTATTCCTCGGTTTCGTTTCATGATTCATTAACTATTTATACTCCTTGATTAGATGTTCAACCCATTATCAGCTTTGTACTATGTCTAATGTCCGTTCCACGATTCGTGCCATCCTCTGCGTCTCTGACATGTGTTGCGCATGGCTAATATATGAGCAACACGCAACAACATGTTGCAACAAGATTTACTTTCAGCCCTTAGGCAAACATGTTATTGCACGTTGCCAACATCATGTTGCATGCAGCATGTTGTTCCATGTTGGTGACATGTTGTTGCGTGTTGCCAATGTTGCATGTTGCAAACATGTTGATGCTATTGTTGACGGTGTGTGCCGCAGGGTGAAAGACGCAGAGCACGGGTAGTATAAAATCGTGGAAAGGACGATTTTACTTCTAACGATGAGAACGCTGAATTTGTATTTACTATTTTGATTTGGTCGTTAATTTTGGTATAATTGAAACAGAAATCCGATATGGTGTGCAGAACATGGTTTTAAAGTATGAAAAAGAACACGTAGAAGAGAAACAGTGCGCATGAAACGCCCAGAAAACTATCATGGCAGTGACTGCTCAAAAGTTCACTTGCACTTTTGAACAATCAAAGAATGAGCATCAAATCATCACGCGAAACAATCCACCATTTCCCCCGATTTCTCTATCAGTGAAGAATTTTTCAGAATCACAAAGTAATAAAATACGAAATAAAATAGAAAAAAATAACAGCGTAAATAAGTGATGTCATCGAACTTCAAATAAATGAGTAAGCCCAGAAACTTGTTTTGACGTAAGGCAGCCACTATAAAGTAAACAAAGAAGATATTTATCAAATGAAAATATTCTTTCGTCAGTTGTTTGGCCTCTAAAGCGACATATAGTGTATAAAGAATTGGGCCAACTAGTCAAAGCTGGTTTGGCGCAGGCTTGAGTCAAAGGGGCTGGTGCAGGCTTGGCCCAATCTGATCATGCCAACATAGCAAGTTTGACATGTTAATTTACGCACCTTCAGCTTTTTGTTCAACACATCAATAAGTGAACGGGAGAGAGGGTGGAGGGGGAGGTAGTGGGAACGGGGAGGATAGAAGTCGGAAAGGATTACTTCCATCCCCTATAGGAACTTTGTCTGTAAGGTAACCCATATCGATACTGAAACAGTGACCCCAACTTGTAAAAAAAGAGTTCTGGGAAGGTGATGATGAAGGATGGTAAAAAGAAGGGGGGAGGGGATATCTATTTGTTGTGGAATAATTTGCTTATGGTTAATACAGCAATAGACTGTCATAAACTACAATAAGTTTTTTTCTCGCTTCCCCGGCAAAACTCATAGCATTTGGATGACGTCGTTCACAATATTCTACCATTTCCCCCCCCTCCCCCCCTATTAGTATCACGAGCGCAACATCTATTACGTTCTGATTGTCTCAACTCAAACAAAGCAACCTTGTTCCAGTTATCAATCTTATGGCCAGTTTGCACAAAGAATCAGCTGAGCGTGGAGGTTTATGTAAACAGTATTGGCTGAAATTAGATCATGATCATCAAAGATCATTCCGCTCAGGAAAAATGGGGTTTTCTACTGTCATGAAGAGTACAATCTTCGTTTTAAAAAATTTTCTTGATAATTTTTCTATCAGACGCGAAATTCACAAGAAATTGTTGCGTTTTTTTTCCGTGCCAAAATATTCCCAAGCCTATAGTAATAAACACAATTGGCTGCGAATATAGCACGAACGCACATAAAGGCGAAAAAGTCATCAAAAATTCTGCATTATGCTCTTCATTATCAATGCGATCAGCCTATCAGCCAGTCCGAGACAAAAATAGCCTACGATCATTAGGTGGTGTGCCAGGAATTACCAATTAGTTTTTTCGCTTGAAATATAATGTAGAGAATTCTTGATAGATTCAAAGGCTGCGAGTACTGTAGATCTTTCTGGTTTTTGAAATGAGAAAATGGATCAGAATATATAGAGTAAAAGTGATAGCGAGCAAAGATCAATGGCCAACGAAGTCGCCATATTTTACTTTTCCAATATTTCGTCTCCTATTCCTTCCTCCTTCCTCTTCCTTTTCTTCATCCCTCCTCCTTAATCCTATTTTCTCCAATGCCCTCAAATTTCCTCAAAGGTAAGCTCGTACATATAGTACAGGTCACCGACATTTTAATTCTAATCACTTGCCTCAATCAAGTAAAAAATTGTGAATCTCCTTCAATAAGCATAAACACTCCCCCCCCCCCCAATAATTTCAAAAGCATGGCGGCACTAACAAAAGCAATTGCCTTCTTTCACTTTATCAACGATATTCGCCAGAATTTTCCAAAACCTAATAATTCTGTCACCAAACTTCACATATCAAAGATGACATGCTCCAAGCATGTGAAAGTATGATTAGTATGATAACAACGTATAAATAAACATTCTCACATCATGATCGCAACAAGTTTGGCGAAAGTATAGTTAGTGTAATCATTTGCTTCTCGTCATAGAGAGTTGATAACGCTATCATCCGGCTCAAGAATTTTCGTCCAGCTTAGGATGACTAGACTCCACCTTTAGACTTTTAAACTCAAAATGTTGATAAAAAACGAAATCCTGAAGAAATCATTTGCAATGGGGAGAAGGTAGAGACAAAGGAAAAATGGGGGTTTGGGTGTTGGCGAAAAGAATAAGGAAGAATGCAGACGCTTTGTTTCATTATCTCTTCAGGACCACCTAACTTGTCAAGAAAAAAACATGTCTAACCTGACGGTACAAGTTAAAATCCATTATTAATGAAGCATTTGGCTGGCACGGTAGAACCCGCCACAGATCAGCAAGATGCATTTCAGTAGTAACAGAGACGCGGTGTATGTATGTATGTATGTATGTATGTATGTATTCTATGCACTTATAAATGCTATATGGGCATGATAATGCTTTACGATTGCATCAAACCGGTGCCTATAGCGCGTCAAAAGCAATATTGAGAGTTAGGATGACGCGTTCATGGTGACGTACATACGTGAAAGTCTTGATGCGATAGCTGTGTATGTGATGCACACTGTTTTTTTTTACAAACTTCCAACGCATTCTCAATGCCTTATAAAGTTTCCGTTTTTGAGAAAAAGCGTCGGCGGGGCGGGGGGGGGGTGGTGCTTCACACAACTGGGGCATTAACAATGTACAAACGCCGCCATGATAATCGCAAGACTTAGAAATATTCAGTAGTGGTCGAAGTTATAGAAATTGTGCGAAAACTGCATTTTCGCTATGATATAGATACGCAAATGATTAAACTGTGTCAAGGTTCAAAAAAATACCAAAAGATGGCTGTTAGTCACAGCGACATTTTGGCCTCTCTAAGGTTTTGAGGGACCTACCGGGTTGCAGAGACCGCTCTATTGAAGCACATTGTAACCATCGCAAATGGAGCGGTTTTTCTGCCTTTTTACAGTGATTCTCTTACAGTTCAAAATAGCTTCACACGTACGCTATCGATCAGAACTGTTGGGTTTGTCTATGATCAGATTCCAAGTAGTAGAACCGCAATAGAAACCTTGGGTTAATGACACTGGCCTGCAGAAGGAAAAAATTTGATCTTATCATGGCCCATAAAATATTCTATGGAGATTGCGGATTGAATCGTGATTCGTATTTCACAACTAAGATGTCGAAAACTATGGGCGGTACAAGAAAGTTGATTATTCCAAGATCTAAGCTCAATGTACGAAGAAATTTCTTTATATGTAGAGTTTTTCCTGAGGCAGATACATTTATACGTGAACGAGTGTTTGTTCCAAAGCTGGCTTCGTTCAAAAGATTGTTAAGGAGCCATTTGCAAAAAAGTGAATTTTGTTAGTCGTTTCGTTATGATGTTGTTTGGTCTTTTGTTGTTTGTTTTATTGATCTTTATGTGTTTTCCGTAAGGTCTCCCTACGTAATAAAATAAAATAAAATTCTATAAGGTTGTGCCTGATCGATTGTAGGAATCGATGCGTTCGCGGACATTGCTTGCCTTGTACGCTAAGATAACTTTTTCACTTTTCTTCTTTCTATCAAACGCTTTTCTCTCATCAAGTATTGGCTAATCACCTAGAGCGATTCTGAGGAATGTAAGAGATGATAAGCTTGTTCGAAAGATTTAGGGCTTTGTGGCGTCCTGCGTGAGCATTTCCGCAAAAAAGACCTTTACGACCTAGCAAAGCTATATACCAGGCAGGTGCCATACTTATCCAGTTACACGCTTGTCGCTTCGACTGGTCCCACTCATGTGACCGATCATGGAGCGGCAAAGCGTTTGACCGGATAAATCTGACGCTTCTTAAGGCACAATAATGTCTTTCGACACTTTTTGGCTAAAAAACTGTATTGCTCACAGTGACACCGATCTAGAATGTATCGCGGTGCAGTTATTCCCCGCAACTGCTCAAAAAAAGAAGTTGGTCTGAGATAGCCAAGCTCTACCAGTGGCCTTCGGTCGCCGACAGAAACCGGCTTCCTCTTTCCTTTTTAAGTCCTTTGATATTGTAGTATATAACGTGTATAATAGATACTATAAAAGACTGATGTATTTACATTATATCTATCGTATTTATTGTATTGTGATTTAATTTTGTGTTTATTCATTTCCACACATCAGGTAAGGGACTCGCTAACATTTATCCTGAATAAGTGTGTCAGTTTTGCGAGTGTCTTAAGCTTCAAGCACTACGGTAATTCAAAGCACTGACCAGTTTTTTCTTGCTA